AGTTTCCTAGTTGTCACGTCGTATAATTTGTAAAAGGAAAATAAATCTCTTACTTTTCATAAACTTGACTTTGTCTGAATTAATACGAAGTGTGCTTACGATCCCTGAATAACAAAGAATCCTAATTCTTCTGGTTAAATGTTCAAGGATCGACCAGGTTGGATTTCCATATTTATATTGAACTTCACATCTTATTGATCATAATTAAAACCCCAAAATACATCTGTAGGCATAACTCTACAAAGCTAAAAAAAGACTACTTTTACTAAATTGTGTAAAAAAAGAGCAAAGTATTGGATTTCGAGAGTTATGTCTTTGGAGGTGAAGCAAAGAGCTGAAACCATTGTGAACATTGGTGCAGCCTACACTGGTCTGAGGATAGCTGGAGGAGGCTATGAAATCACTGATGGTGACCTGACTTTGTTGTTCCTGGACTTTGTTGAACTGTCCACCAGTGCAGATTTTTTTTTTTACTTCTTTGGTATCAGTAGGCTTGTGTTAGCATTAGCTACAGCAGGCTGCTGCAGGGTTGCTTATGACAGCGGTCCTTCCACTTTAACCCTCTGGAGGCAGGCGTTGCAGATTTGCAATGTTAAAACCTACCTACCTGGTTACTCCACTACGTATTCCATGAGCATTTTTTAACTCAGAAGTTCCCCTGAAGGACTTAGTTGTTTGTCCTTTTATTAAAACGTATTTTGAGCCTGAGAGGGTTGACCAGTAGATGTGAGAAGCAGGGAAAGGTTTTTAGTGCTGCTTTCAAAGTTAAAAGATGCTCAAGAATAGATTAGAGGAAAAATATATTAAACAGATCTAAAATGCTTTTAACAACATTCAGTTGAACTATGTTATGCACAGTATTCTCACCACACATAAAAACATAAAACAATAAGAAATACAGTTCAAGTTCAGAGGTGCTGTTGGTAGGAGCCAGTGGTTATCTGAGGTGCTGCTGTCTTCTAATCATCTAGAACCAGTCCAGCCAGTCTCTGTCGACCTCATCAAGCCATTTTCATCCACACAGCTGCTGCTCACTAGCCTAAAATTCTAGAGGAACTGTAGCAGTACTAAAAGATTTTGCTCAGCAGGTCAGTCTAGCCATGCCTCGACAGATTTACCACTGGCCCAAACAATTTTAGATCCTGCAAATCACAGTGCTCCATGTCCATGCTAACAACCATGTTGCATTCAAATCTATTAAGTCTCCTGTCTTTGTCATGTTCTGAGGTAGATGCAGAATCAGAGACAGAGACTTAGATAAAGGAAAAATAATAATATTAATTTTTATAAAGGAGAAACTAAGGGCGCACTGGAGGTCCAGCGGATGGGGAAGCAAACATGAAGCGGCGTCTAGGGGAAAACAGAGGTGAGTATTGGGAGTTGTAGTTCTGAGGGGAATGTTTGGAGATGGGACTTACGATGCGGAAGTTCAGGAGGGTAGTGGAGGGGGAGTGAGCCGGGGTGATATCCAGAGCAAAAAGTCAACGGTACAGGAGGGTGAGTGGTGACGAGAGGAGATGAGGAAGTTGATCCGGAGAGGGAGCGTGAGCGTGGTGGAGAGCGGGACGGCTGGGTGGATAGTGATCCAGGAATCGAACCGGTGAGAAGTCCCTACAGAGACGGCGGAGGATCCTGAGATGAAGCCAACCTGAGGTACGTATCCAGACAGAATATCCACATTAAAACGAGTCTTCAAAAACATGCATAAAATCGAATCAAGAGACTAGAGAACACGAAGGGCAAGAGACTACCAGTCAGTAGTAATCATCCGGCATCGAATCATGATCACCATCCTCCTTTTAAAGCCGACCCGCTGATCACGCTGATGACGATCAGCCTGTCGCTCCCTCTCCTGCAATCAGAACACTCAGAGATGGTGAATGGTGTGAAGAGTACTCACCCCGGCTCATGACAGTCTTCTCCATTCTGGTGCTCGGTATAATTGCTCAGCTGTTCTGGTAAACGCCTCAAAGGCAAAATCACTGAACAAACCTCACTGAAATGACCCAGACTCAGGCAAAACCAGACCACAGGGCTGCACACTGTTTGTATGAACAAATGTAAGAATTTATAACAGGCAGCGCACATCATTTATGAAGATTAACTATTGTATTTACTTCTGTTTGAGTGTCTTTTATCTGCTGGCCTCAGCAGAGTGATTGTGTTAGATATTGATGCAATGCACTTCATGCCTTTATGGAGTGTAACATTAACGAGCTGTCGGCTGTGCTGCTGAGATTAGGTGTGTGTGTGTGTGTGTGTGTGCGTGTGTGTGTGTGCGTGCGTGTGTGCGTGCGTGCGTGTGCGTGCGTGTGTGTGTGTGTGTGTGTGTGTGTGTGTGTGCGTGCGTGTGTGTGTGTGTGTGTGTGTGTGCGTGCGTGTGTGCGTGCGTGCGTGCGTGTGTGTGTGTGTGTGTGTGTGTGCGTGCGTGCGTGTGTGCGTGCGTGTGTGTGTGTGTGTGTGTGTGTGTGTGTGTGTGTGTGTGTGTGTGCGTGTGTGTGTGTGTGTGACATTCATCGGTGGTGGGTGTTCAGAGAACTTCTTCTATGTATGTTAAACTAAAGCTACAGGCTGTAGGGTCAACATGTACAATGATCAGGGTAGGGATGCCAGATCCAGATGGATTACTGCATCTCCGGCTGACAAAACACTTTTTCTTTTCTTTACAGAAACATTTCACTCCATAAGAGTTCTTCTTCAAATCAATTCAAATAAAATCTAAGTTAATTTATAAAGTACTTGTCATGCACAGGATGCAACACAAAGTGTTTAACAGATTAAAATAACCCATATAACCCACATTCCCTCCCTTTCCCACACTTAAAACAATTGTGACAGTTTCACCCCCAATCCACAAAACATTCCCAGGCGCGCGCGCGCGCACACACACACACACACACACACACACACACACACACACACACACACACACACACACACACACACACACACACACACACACACACACACACGCACGCACACACACACACACACACACTCGTCCACATAACACATTCAAAGACCACAGTAAACACTAAGCTGAACTCAGATTGGACAGGTAATGAAAGACACGCCATCACAGGGGCCCTCTGCCTCGACAGCAGCAGATCGACGGCAGCAGCCAAGACACCAATCCAGGGTGCCCTGCAAGGGATGGTGGCAACCCTCACCACTACCTAGGCACTACCCTAGGAGCGCCCCAGCCGCCGCCACCGACCACCGGTCCCGAGGCAGAGGGCTCCACAGAGGAAACACTGGAAGGATTAAAATACATTACAAGAGCTAATATGGAAAATATCTAAAATGTATGATATAAAATAGCCAATAAAATGTGATTATACAAATAAAACAACATAAATGTGTAACACAATAGTCATTAAAAATAAATAAATAAGTAAAACAAGCAATGCAATAAATAGTTATCAGTTAAAAGCTAAACTTCAGGAAGTCATGGGACTTCTGTTGGTGTTTCACAGTTTCATTTCAGAAAAACAACTTGTATTTGAACACAGGAATACAACATTACACACCACTCCCCTGCCATAGAAGGGTATTTCTGAGGGCTATTTTCAGTGTTTTTGTGTAAATGTTTACAATTATTCTAATCTTACCCATAATGCAGAGCTTCCCAAACAGCCTCTGTTCAGAGAAATAGCTATTATGTTATTTCTGCATCATTCAGTGTAGCCAAGACCGCGGTGTCGCTGCCCCCATACACTAACGGCATTGTGAAGGTTAATGAAAGAATGATCACATGAACTGTAGCGTCTTACAAAAACACACCTTGCAGTGGGGCCGTTTTTAATTTGACTAGATAGACGCATAGCTCTGGATAATTTTCTATCTAGTCCTAAACAGGTAGTTTTTTACATTCATGGTTTGAATGTGTATGAAACATTTACACTTTCTTTGGGGTACTGGGCTCTGTTATAGGGTGGCACAGAAAATTAAATGAAAAACGAAAACTACAGCAACCTAACTTAAAATGTGACTTAAAAAAACAGAAGTAAAACATCAAATGAAATGTAGAATGGAACGTGTTTTGATAAAACTCGTGCTAACATCTTATTTCCCTCTTTCCTATTCACTCTCTCTCTTTCTTAACATTTTTCCTTTTAAATCCCAATTGCCCATTTTTGCTCATTTTAAATATATTTGAAACATTTTCTAAATGCTTTTGTATATTTTAACTTTTTTTTTTGTGAAGCGCCTCGTGATTTTTATCTTGAGAGGCGCTATAGAAATGATATTTTCTTCTTCTTCTTCTTTCTTATTTAATCCCAAAACCTAAGTAAATGAGAGACAACAATTTGTTGGGTTCCTTGTATAGGAAACTTTTTTACTGATTAATGACCTGACCTGTATTTGAATGTTTATTGTTAGAAGTGCCTTGAGACGACTCTTGTTGTGATTTGGCGCTATATAAATAAACTTGAATTGAATTGAATTGAACAACAGAAGCCTGGCAAGCCAGACTAAATAAATACAATATTATTAGACTAAATAAATAGATTATTTAGTCTGGCAAAGCTCCGTTGCGGCTCTCGGTCGCAAGGCGGGTTCTACCGTTGTCTTTCAAACAATCTCCACATGCTACTGGACAATGAACAACGTGACATACTCACCACAACGGATGTCAGTTTGCTGTCGACAAAGGAAAAAATACATAATTTTTTCTAATAAATAACTTAAATACATCTATCTGCTCCTGATTCTAATAAAACCCAAGTCCAAATAGTCCAAAATTTATGTAAAAGCCGTTTCAAACGAGCTGTCACCATCTTGTTCCACTCTGTTGCGTCATTCCGCCCACCAGAAGAATAGAGGGCCCTGATTGGTCTGCAAAGCGGATAATGCGCTGTGATTGGTTCAGAAAGCAGAAAGAGCGCTATGATTGGCTCACCATTATGAACCAAACACAGCGCTCCATAAGATTTAAACCCCTATAGAGTGCTGTGATTGGCCAGCCTGAATGCTGCTTGGGGCAGCGGACCTCCAGTGGACTAATTATTTTCTACTTCTTTTCATTTATTTAATGACTTGACTCAAACTTTATTTATTAAGCCCCTTACAGACACTTACATGCTACCAAAGTGCTTCACAGACACAGATAAAAACATAACACATAAAATCCACTAAAAATGAAAAAATTAAAAATTAAATAAATAAATACAATCAAATAAAAACATTAAAATTTATCTAAAAAAGCATCTAAGTCAATCACTCACACAAGCTGTTTTTACAGGACCATAGCGTTTGCTAAACGGGATTTGCCGCGGCTCCCTGGGGAGGATTTTGGTTGACCTTTAGCTTTGATGTGACCTGCTTTTTGTCCCGCTTGACGACCCGCTCAGCCAGTGTTTCCACCACTCTGTCGAACAGCTGGCTGTCTCTCACCGTCCCCGTAAAAAGGCGACTAATCTGTTCGTCCGCTCGCACGGCCAAAGGCTCCATGGTCTCCGTGTCTGTCCAGTTTGCCATGTTGTAGGTGGTTGAAAGATACTAGTGAGAGGCCATGTTTGTCTGTGTTTATATCCCTTCCGGCCGGCACTCGGCGCAGTAGATGTCACTAAGGCTGGGCGTACACTGTGGAACTTTTTCACTTTTTTGAGCCGATTTTCCAGTCGTGCGAGAATCCACGACATCGGGGCGAGTTTTGCGCCGAGCGGTCGTGTAGTGTACGGGGGTTACGAGAGGCGATTAACACCACGTGACCAGCTGCCGATCAGCAGTCGTGAGGTCGCACGGACTTCTGGCGTGTTTAATATTTCGCTCGTCCCTCGTGAGGGTATCGCACTGTTGAAGCGGCGCTGCAAGCAGCTGCGACCCAAAAAGTACCAGAACCGCTCACGGCGCATGCGCAATCCTGCATCAACGCCGCTCCCCGCTATTTCCCTAATAACACACGTTGTTCGTTTTTGTTTCTACACGTTTTTTTTACTCACAGAGATTGTCAAGAAAGCGTGTTTGTCGTGTTCATGTCAAATGAAACTGATCACAAAACACAGATTTACTTTCTTTATTTCGTTTTCCTCATCCAACCCCCATAAATCCCTGTGTGTCCTCCTGCAGCACTCCCGAAGGACAACAGGCAAGACAAGACAAAAAAGTCTGACGTGTTGTGTAAAAACGGCTATTTTTAGCATATTTTTAGGGCCGACGTGTTGCTACCAGACGTGCAGTGTGAGCGCCTGGCTCGTGAGATCTGCTCTGCGAGGAAGTCGTACAGTTTGAGCTGAAGCTTGAGTGCTACGAGTGAAAAAGTCGCACAGTGTACGCCCGGCTTAACGCGACCACCCTCTTTTGCAGGGGGACCTCCCACAGTCACTCCAAAGGGATTAGTGGGGCTGACACGCGTTTAGCCGTCAGAGGCGAGGGGCTCATGCGGCAATATCAATACGAGGCTAAGTGCATCAGAATTGAGTTTTATCACCTTTCCCCTTTGCTCCTTACCGCATTTCCGAGACCCACAAATTCGGATTTATCACTCTGTAATGACGCGATGGTCTGTCTTATAAAAGAGGCTACAGATTTAAAAGCCAGTTCATAAAAATGGGTCTTCAGCTTTGATCTAGAAACTTCTACAGAAGAGGAATGCCGAATGTGTAATGGAAGTTCATTCAATAGTTTTGGAGTTGCAACTGAAAAGGTTCTGTCACCCCGCATCTTCAGCCGTGACCAGGGCACCACGAGCAAGGACAGGTCCATAACGGAGTGCCTGAGAGGGAACGTACGAATTCAGTGTGTCTGCCATATAAGCCGGAGCCAAACCGTTTAAAGCTTTAAAAACAGTAAAAGAACTTTAAACCGAATCCTACACCACAGACAGCCGACATAACGTGTTTGGGGCTCAAAATTCATGTTGTTGACCGAGGTGGAAAAAAAAGTCTTGGAGGCTACATCACTTCCGGGTCACTGAACTGTCACTCAAGAGAAACCACTGTCCTATGGGAGAGGACTTCTCAGAAGTCCCACCCACTCGAGAGGGTTGTGTCAGAATTGCAACCAAAAGTCAGGGATTGCAAAGGAGAAAGCCAGAAAGTGTAAGTGCAAATCTGGTAGTGAGATCAAAGCTGTGAGCAGCGAGAATAAAACAAAGGAAATTGATAACAAAAGCACATAGAGTCAAACAGAAAAAGGAAAGATACTTTATTACTCAGTTTAAGAAGTTGATTCAGAAAGTAAGTTTTACTTTTAAAATGATTTATTTTTTCTCTCAGTGTCTTAATATTTGTTTGATCTCCAAAGTGTTTTTCTTGATCCTATTGGCACAAATCTAATCACATAGAAATAATTGTGTGCTGGAACCACCGGCTGATGACCACAGGCCCACTAATTGTACCTGGAGAAGTTTACTCAGACCAGCCTTTGAATTCTGTCTGAATCTTTCAAGGCATCTTTTTTAACAACATCATTGTGTTTTAAGTCACTAAAGACTATTTTAGCTTCGGAATGTGAAGTAATGCAAATGTGAACATTTCTACCCATCTTCTCTGACACCCTGAAGGCAAACAGGGCTTCAGACAGCTCACTGCTGCAGCTGTTTAATGCAGGAGGCATTTTGGGATGAATAAAACATCACAGCACCTTGTTTATTTCCATCCTTCAACCGTAACTCGTTCTTTACATAATTGAATTCTAGCCGGTTGGAGGCAGTGCATCTGATTGAGCCTCTACCTGTTAGCCAGGGAATGATTTGTTTCCATGCTGACTCCAAGATCTGGCAGAGAAAATCAGGATCACCCGAGGGTTTGGGTTCCAGCTGGTGTAAGAAACGGGGCTGTTTACATCACCTTCCCCTCTCAGCTGTATGTTTCCTGCTTCCTTGTGTTTGTTTCGGTTCACAGCCTGCTGTTTCTCAGTGAGAGAAGCTGCCAGCCATTCAACCTGGATGATTAACCCTCTTCTCTCCTTCAGGCTAGAGCACCCTCTTTCCTTCCTCTCATTTTCTATCACACAGTCTCATTTTGTTGATGTGTAATTTGTTGCCTAATCTGTCATGTTGCTCATTACCACTGCAGGATCTGATGGTGGGAGACGTTTGAGCCATTGTCTCCTCAGTTCTTTATGCATGGCCATGCCCTCTCCATATGGCCACCATTGTTGCTTGCAGTTAATGGTCTCATTCAACTTCCTGTTTCTCACACAGGGCAGCGGCTCCTTAGCATTCGGCACCAATACGCAGCCAGTCGGGGTCAGTGTGCAGGTAGTGGACACGTGTGAATTAAACAAGGAGCAAACATTTGAGACGTGAAAATCTAAGAAGAAGAAAGAATCATTTCTATAGCGCCTCTCAAGATAAAAATCTTGAGGCGTGAACAGGAAAGAGGGAAATCAGTGGATCCTGAGGAAGGTGGAATAGAGCTCCGGACCCCATGTGACTCTCAGTTGGTGGACGCCATTTTGGCATGCAAAAAAGGTAAACAAACACGGATGTAACCATGAACATGAACGGGATCCGCTTGGATTTTACTTCGTCGGAGTTTACTTCACACTTTAAAACAGAAGAAATCGTTTTATATACTCAGAAATTAAATAGACTAAACATCTCCAACCCTTACCGTGCCCCTGGGATACTTTTTAAAAACGCCAGAAGCTGTCGGAGCGGACTTCTTACCGGCACAACACCGGACCTGACCGGGGAACCCCTTGGGATTTACCCGGAGGAGCTGGCTCCGGCGGCTGGGGAGAGGAAAGTCACGCTACTGCCCCCGCAACCCGACTCCGGATACGCGGATGAAAATGGATGGATGGACGGACAAATAACAGATTTACATGTAAGTAGTCTCGGTGAGACAGATAATAGCAATCCAAAGTGCTTTTTATGTGTGATCTGACAATTGATCAACCATTGCTTAAAAATTAAATACAGCTTAGCCGGTTAATTGCTGTGATCATAAAACACGGAAACGGCAGCACGCAGAACTCACGAGGCAACGTTTTACGTGACGTTTACTTGTTGCTATGAGTAATAAGACAGAAAAAGCCACGCCAAAATAAGTTTAGGAAGCCCACTAAGAATCACAATAAAAGCATTTAAAATAAATACCATACACAGTTGAGGAAACGTTGGTTTAAGTACCTGATATGAAGCGGTCGCTGCATAAGCGAAAACCTTTACTCTCGGGATCCCACAGTTTCATTTTCGCCTGGTCACTAGCGTGTTTTATTACAATCATCCAACGTTTGCGGCGCTCCGGATCTTGGGAATCCTGTAGATGGCTCATTCCTTAAGTCGTCCGTGTCTGTTCTGCATCCTGGGGCACAACAGGAATCTACCATATTTCCTGTCTGATTGAGTTTTCTGACAATAACAAATAGTCCAGCTGCCGGCTTCTGCCTGCCAAGATGGCGCCATTTCGATTTGAACTGTTGCATGCCGGGAGAAGTGACGTCAACTCCCGGAGCTCTATAGGTGGGGAGAGCAGAATAAAGAGAGAGAGGTGAAGAAGGTCATACAAAAGCCAGCTTGAACAAGTGAGTCTTCAGCTGCTTTTTAAAGGAGACCACTGAGTCCACTGATCTCAGGCTCAGGGGGAGAGAGTTCCAGAGTCTGGGGGCCACAGCAGCAAATGATCTGTTACCTTTGACCTTTAGCCTGGTGCTGCACAACCAGTAGGCTTTGATCACTGGATCTCAGGGACCTGCTGGGGGTGTAGGGACTAAGAAGATCACCAATGTAAGATGGTGCTTGTCCATGTAAGGCCCTATAGACCAGAACCAGGATCTTGAAATGAACCCTGAAGTTGACTGGCAGCCAGTGAAGCTGGAAGAGAAGCGGGGTGATGTGGGTAAATAAATATTTAGAAAGGAAAACATCCACGACCGCTTTAGGACACAATCCATGCACGTTTTTATTGTTGTGATCACCCGAGGAACACATCAGGAAGTTATCATAAGGTTTGAAATTCTTGTTATTTATTTGACTTTTTTACTTTACAGATTCTTGTTCCGGAACTGCGCTGCTCTGGGCGGCTGCATGTTGGAGTAGCTCTGTTGACTATATGTAAATAATCAATTTCCCTCTGGGGTTAATAAAGTATTTTTGAATTTGAATTGAATTGAATATCAGTTATCAAACACAACACAATTTGATTTGTAATCATTAACGACTTATTTTCATTATCATTAAACCACTTGTACTTTTCACAAACCAAACAACCAACATGTTGCATCCTCTACAAAAACACATTGTCGAGTCACTTTATGTCAGTGTTTGGTTTTTTAGGAATTATGTGCATTAAACACGCCTTTTCAAAGTGCCTTGTTTGTGATGTCACAACAGGGAACCACCCTCACCTGCTCTGGGTGTGGGTGTGGCTCTACTCCAAACCCCTCCCAGATTTTCGAGTTCTTCACCCAACATTTCTAAGACTGGGAACTGAAATGACAACATAAGTGGAAAAATACAACTCCCGGAGCATTCTGCAGCGAATTTTAAGTCTTTTAGTGTAAGCACCTAAATGTCTTAATGGGTTGTTTGTTCATCATTCAAAAGGTTTTGAAAAATGGAGTATCAGAAGGGTGCTGCTAATAAAACCCAAAAACAAGATGTTTGGTTGATAATCTGTCTTCACTGTCTGATTAGGCTTTGTTAGATTAAACCAGCAAAATCAAAGTAACAGATGCATAAATAAAAGGTTCATAGCTCCAACGTTAGACTTTAAAGCTTTGAAGTGAAAACTTTGAGTTTCGGTAGAAAGTGAAGAAGTTCAGAGTCTGTGGTCGTTAGAGGCAATCATGTTCAGGTGTTTTTTGGACGTCTCATGGTGGAGAGGAGAAATGTCCAGCCTGTGGACGAGTGGACCCGTACGACTAGTCAGCTGGGCTCGTAGATACCGATCAACTCCTGTCTCTTCCAGTTAGTCCCACTCAGCCTCTCACGGCTCCTGATTCAATCCTTTTGCTGAGCTCAGCCGGAGGTAAACTGCTCATGCGCACAGCTAACTGTCATGCCAAGTTTCTGCTGCACACGGGAAGACGGACTGATTTATCCTCTACAGACTGCCTGATGAAGCCGTGTTCTGGGCTGGTGGTACAAGGGAAACGTAATGTTGCTTGTTTATAACTGAGAGAACTTCTTGGATGAGAAGAAAATCTAAAGTCCTGTTGCCTGTTTCTGAACCCAGCAGGGCTACCATGTAGCATGTCACAGATGCAAAAACCGAACAGCAGAGTAAACTTGTGTTTATTTTTGGTTGTGACTTCTTTCATTGGAAAACCTGTTTTCTACCGTTTAAGTGGGGCTTTTAAATGTCACAACCTGTCCTGTCTCCCCACTCTGTTCAGTCCTGTGTCTCTCCTGATTGCTCCCACCTGCCTCTCATCTCCCAATCACTGTAGATCCCAGCTACTCGTGTATTTAAACCCTCCCAGTTCTGTGTTCCTTGTCTGTCCATTGTTTGCATGTCATGTGTGTTTGTGCCTTCTTCTTCTTCTTCTTCTTCTTCTTCTTCTTCTTCTTCTTCTTCTTCTTCTTCACACCTGTGACATTAAATGGAAGTAGGAGGAAGATTAATTTGTAGGGTGAGCAGAAGGGTTAAGTATGTGCATCCATACAGAACTCACCAAAACATCTCAACCAAGCAGCTGGATGACTCAATTCCAGAGAAACCACACATTGGTAATCAGATGTTGTATTCATTTGACAAAGAGGAGCTTCAGTAGCATGAGAGTCATACGCAGCCACACCAACCCTGCTGCAGGTCACACTTCAACCAGCTATGGGATGCGTCGGTCACTCTGGCATGAACAGTGAGCTGAACGGGGTCCAAGTCAGAGTGTAGAGATGGAAGGTCACCATTCAAGGAGAAATAAACAGGCATTCCAATGGCAGGAGTTATTCTAAGAAGTATTCAGCTAAACACACATGTCTTACTAGTTTAGCCAACTTTCCACATGCTCTTCTTTTACACTGATTTTAGAAAATTTGTCACATGAATCCATTTAAACTGAAGAACTTTTGTTTGTGTTTGTGCTCACCCAGCCCGTGGATGCTGCATGACTCCGCGTGAAAGAGAAGTAAGGGCCAGGGTAACAGGAAGTAAGTTGATCCCTTGTTTTGGATGAAGGAGGATGTGATGGAGGTAGAGGTTACCAGTACAAATGAGAGCAGCCTCACTACCTGCAGCACATACCAGGATCATACGTGTGTGAGTTTCAGTTTCAGGTGAACAGGAGGGAAACCAGAGATGTACAATTCAACAGACTCTGGGCTTACAGGCTCAGGTTGATCGGGTCAGTGTTTCCACTCACACCTCACCATCCTTTAAAGGACTTTATTGCAATTAAACACCCTGTCTGAACAAGTGAATATGGAATTCGATGAAGTAGAGTTGCTTTTCCAGTGAAGGCTGTTCATCTTACTCCCTTAGAGCCAGTCAGTGCGGTTAAATGCGCACTGAGTGACATCCAAGTCGATCCAGGTCGACCTTATGGTTATAAGCTGGGAGACTCTGTCCTAGTTTACATGCAAATGAAGTAGGTAGCGACGTGTGAGGTGGAATTTTCCCGGTTAGCTTATAGCAACGCAAATAGTAAATAAACTCTGTTGGGATTGAAGCAGATGAAGTTGAGGCAGGAAATGCACAGTGGTTGAAGGAATGGACAACAACGCTGCAGCACAGCTTATCTGGTACGTACAACCCCCAACTGACACACCCATATAAATACTTATACAATTACGGGGGAACAAATATGTGTTCTCTCATTTTTTCTCAAGCCGTCAGTGAGCCGCGTCAATTCTGACAGGAAGTCAAACAGGAAGAGGACAGGAAGTGGCAGGCTGGCAAATTTAACAAAATAAAGAAATTTTCCTAAATAAAACACAGTGATTGATAAATGTGATCATTTCTGTGAATCTAAACAGACTTAAGAGATGAAAATGAACAAAGCCACAAACACACACTCCTGCGTAGAAACTGCGTTTCCATGAATTTAAATGTAATTTTTCCAGCAAAAGATGGATTTAATAAATGTAAATACAAACAAATATATTTCATTCTAAAGTAAATAAACAATAGCATTGTACACTTCCACAGACACTAGTTATTTACTTAACCAATCAGTAAGGAACGGTCTACAAAACAGCAGTAAGATCAGCGCAGTTTCTGACATCACCAAGCAGGGCAAACTGGTTACACGCACACACAGCAAGGGCTCGGGGGTGGGGTGGGGGTGGCGGAAAACAGTAGGTGTGAGCAGAAGCGTTCGTCAAAAATTCTCGCCTGATGTGAACATAGGAGCAGCGGGCAGTGCACAAATGTCGAACGATCCACTTCGCAGCGCTTCGCAGCGGGTGTTATCCCGGCTTAAACATAAAATTAGTCCCCTATTTCCATCATTAGCCACTAATAGAAAATAGACAAGGAAACGTAGGGGCATTTGCATTTCATAATGTCTAATTAGCATTTATGGAATCAACCAACTTGGCTCACAACAGGGAAAGCTGTTTTTGGTTTAGGAGGGAGCATCTCAGCTAGTAGAAGCTAACTGTTAGCATTAGCAACTCCACCACACAGCAGAACTCCTCCAGGCTTATGTTATTTGTGGGGATAAAACATCAACGCCGCAGAGCAGACTGAGTCAACGGTAGAGTTGTGTAGCTGTTAGCCAATCAGAGGCTAGATGTCCAACTATCAGAAAATAAGACTCCAAATCCTATCGTGTGCAGCTCAACTCTGAACGAGCTCCCTTCTAGTTCCTGAAACATGAGTTGTAGAGCTTTTCCCCACACGTCACAAGACATTCATTTGTATTAGAGACCACTGCAGATGTGTTGACAAAACAAGTGAACTTGGTCTTGAAGAGATTCATAAAATGGCTCCTTTAAGTTGGTGTCTGTGTCACAAATAACCCCGGCATCAAATCTCAGTTACATTCACTACAATGTCTAATAACTAACTACAACTTTGTCACATTTCACCAAGTGGATCAGAGTCAGTCATCAGACACACCAGGCTACAGGCCTGATGGTATTCTTTCTGTGGTATTTCCCAACGTGAGGGAGACTGTTGCATTACACAGTGCTGCAGGCCCATTGTGTGTTTACATTTTTGGTTCATGACATTGCACATACTTGCGCTGTTATGTGCCTTGGCTGATCACCGATAAGAATTTATGGCTCTTTAATCTGATCAGACTTATCTGTCACAGGGACCATCACGTCAACCAAAAAATACCAAATAAGGAGAGCCCGGTGCAAGAAGGACCCAGGCTGAAAACAAACGAGTGCCTCCTACTGAGCACTTTCAAATGGAGACTTTGCTGAACGCTAATGCTCATTCAGTTTAGAGCAAGGCTGCAGTAATTTTACATTAGAAAATATTAATTCACAAAAAATATGCTCCATTAAGTTTTAAATAATGGTACAAATGTACTTTTCATTTTAGGTTTAATAGATCTAGTTTACCTTAATGACAACTCTGAGGGGGGTGAATTTTTTTGTACCTCTTCTGTTCAAGTGGAATTTAATGCTTGAAAATCTGAATAATTCATGCGCATCCACGTGACGTCAGAGCTAGCTCCGAAGAAAGGCCTCAGCTTCACGTTAATAGATGTTCGGCCATTTCGCCTCTCTGAACTTTAGTTTTTTTTTCTGTGCGTTTGTGTTCGGATGTTAATCAAGGAATTAGTTGGACAAAAGGGCACGATCTGATTTTTGAAAGCAATAACAGACCATCCAAGCAGTTTCTGCTGTTTTTTTTATCAGTAAGTAAATTTATATTTCTCTATTTTATTTTGCTGGTTGAATGGGGGGAATGCTGTGTCATTTAACTGCTTGGTTAAACATGTTGGTGGGGCTGCATAAGAAACTTGAGCGGGTGCAAGGCTTCTATGAGGCTGTAGACGTGCTGGATCTCTGAGGGAGACCACAGAAACACCGCAGCTCTTTTTGTTGACGCTGCTTCACTTTTGAGACATGCAACCACATTTTTCTTGCTGAAAACACCAAGAAAAACTCCTGTTAGCTTTGGGTTAGCATATAGCTAGTGTCCCGCTTATCTCTAGCTCCCGGAGAAGGGACCATCAACTAGGGCTGTCGCGGTAACCGCAAAAATGAAATATCGCAATATGAAGACGCCCACCGCGCTGCATCATGGTCCACCGCGATTACTGAACTTGGTTCAACTCAATGATGCATGTTGAGAAGGATGGCTGCACTGGTATCAAAACGAAAAGTTACTTCGCTCCTTTGGGAGCGCTTTGGTTTTCAGTACGTCAGCTGCTGCGCAGCCAGAGTCCTTGGCCGAGACGGAGCTGCCACCAGCGGCAAAAAAAAAAAAAATAATAATAAACGCTCGGAGACCTCCTGAAGTCCCGGACAAGCACTGCTTCTGCAACCGTCCCGAAGAGAGTTTGAGCCGAGCTGGAGCTCACTCGCTACCTGTAGGAGGAATGCATCCACCCTAAAGAACCCCCCTGACATGGTGGAGCAACAACCGGGAGAGATTCCCTTTGCTCGCCAGAGTCGCACGCAAGTTGAGTTCGGAAGCGAGCGGGGCCGGACCGGAGCGGAGGGGAGCGGAGGTAGTGGAATTTGGGGTAAGTGCAACGAGCGCACCATCCGAGAGGGTTTTCAGTGTTGCTGGAAATGTTGCCACCCCTCTCAGATGCTCTCTCAAACCGTATATGGTTAACATGCTGGTTTTCCTTGTGGGTAACAAGGACGTGACCGAGCTATAAATCACCGTCATTCGTGTGTGTGAAAGTGAAATGATAGTGCGCCCGCCCCCCGGCGCGCGCGCGCCCGGTACATGTAATTTTTTATGCTTGATTTTAAACAACTAAACAAAATGGGGACTTGTTTCTTATTTGTTAGATGCTGCAGCCAAATTTGCATTTAAAAGTTTAACCTCCTGAATTTTGTTGTTTTTAAGTTCAGTCGGACTCCGACTGTCGGACAAACAAACGTTACTGCGATCTGTGTTGTTATACTGCCCTTTGATCTGCATTCAGTAAAGCGTTATAAAAGAAGGCACGGCAATTTTTAACCTTTTTTAAATGTGTAAACATTATGTTTAGATAGTACTGCAATAAAAAAAAGGACTGCAATAATATCGCATACCGCAATATTAAGCCACCCTGAATCACCGCAGGGGGAATTCCTCAACCGCGACAGCCCTACCATCAACAACAGCGGACTCGCGGATCTTTCACCGCAGTGTACCAGCGAAGCCTGATATCCTCGGTCAGCTTACCTAGTAATGATTTTGTTACTAAGCAGGCCAGAGGTGCCTTTACTTTGGAGTCGTTCTACTGCATTTTTCTTGCTGATGGGAAAAACTCAGTTAGCTTTGGGTTAGCATGTAGCTAGTGTCCCTCTTATCTCCGACCGTGGAGCAAGAGCTGATGTAAAAGCCCACGGAGCCCGGTTATGATCGCAGTGGTCTGAGGCTCCACTTGTAATTTAAAAGTCCCAGTCCATATTAGATCTCCACAGTCTACCAGCATGACCACGGCCTCGCACGGGAGCCAGTGTGCCGTGCGGGTGGGACACCCCGGTCCAAGCCTTTCATAGCTTCTTGTCCACCCCAAGTAGTGCAAGAGGAGGGGGCACAACTGAGGAGCAGCCAGCTTGGGACAACACTCATGGAGCCATTGGTGGAGGCACAAACAGGGCCAAAGGGGCGACTGTGCCACACTAGGTTGGTGCTGGGACATCTGATGGCTGGCGAGCTAACGGCACTGATCTGCTGGAGCTGTGGAGCCAAAAGGAGCTTACTGTGGCCGAAACCCCAACAGCTGAGAGTGCCTTGACAGGCAGGCATCCGAGTGGACGACTAACACTCCTCCACTCACAGGACTGTCTCCATGGCAGCCTCAAGGACTGCATTTAATGCCTCTCTTTTAATCTGAACTTTTAATTGTGTCTCACCCCTTCATTCCCAGTTGGAGACTGCCGGTGGTTGGTGCTCTTCCCCTCCCCCGGTGTGGCCTCCCTCTTCCCTTGTGTGGTTTGCCATGGTGGTGCGATTTTGTGTTTTTGTCTTCAGTGTGCAGTGTTTCACGGGCATCCTGGTGGTAGTGCGACACCCACTACTGCTCCCCTTTAGTTTATCCACCACCTGCTAAGATCCATCTACGGTAAATTTAATTGAATTCTCTTGACTTAAGACCATCATTTTTTGACTCTGTTTTATTTTGTAAATAAAACTTGAAGGTCGTAACCACACCATCTATGTGTCACTAAAGCTGGAGACTCATAATGGAGTGGTGCGCTGTTGCTTTTTCCATCTTCGCCACCTGGCCAAAATCAAGCCACTGGTGTCACGGACCCACTTGAAGACTGTCGTCTGTGCATTTCTTACTTCTCGTTTAGTCTACGGCAACTCCCTCTACTCAGGAGTTAGCAAGGCTGCGCTTGCTCGGCTCCAGCTGGCACAAAGTGCTACAGCTAGATTCCTGACCGGCACCGGAAGGCGGGAACATGTTACACCTGTCTTGGCTCATCTGCATTGACTTCCGGTCTCCTTCAGAGTTCGGTTCAAGCTACTTGTTTTTGTTTTCAAGTCTCTGCATGGTTGTGCTCCTAGCTATCTCTGAGTTACTCGATACATCCCATCACGTGCTCTAAGGTCAACGCAGCAAGACTTACTAGTTGTTCCACGTGCAAAATGTTCCACAAGAGAAGGCGGGGCTTTCTCAGGTTTATCCCCAAAGCTGTGGAATGAGGTCAGACAAACACCCTCACGGACTGGTTTTAAGAGTCGGATGAAGACTCACTTTTATACTGTGGCGTTCCCTCAGCATGTGAGTTAGCCATACTTTTAGATATTAGTTTAATTTTATCCTGTTTTAGTGTTTCTTATCAATATTTTTTGCTTTAATCTATTTTTTTTAATTTGTCTATTGTATATTTTGTGGGCCCTTGCTCGGGTTAAAGATGTTTTTACGTTCTGATGGAAAGCACGTTACAAATAAAGTTTATGATGATCTTTGAACTTCTTGAGTGAACGGGCCTACGGGGTTAAGGGCTCAGCGATAGGGTGCCGTGCCCTAGTTGACGTTGTTGGGTTTTACTAATTGGCCATTCCCATCTGTACCGGGTCGGCCCGGGCTGGGTAGCCCAAGTCGGCCCCAGCCTGGCCCGGTTGATTCCACACATCCTTGCCTTAAGCCCATGTGGGCTGATTCTACCCACCAATCAGAGGCTTGCTCTAATGGAAGGTGTGAATTTGCTGTCAGCAGTGGGTGTGTTGGCCCTGGTCGGCCTGAAGCAGACCCCCTCGAGAAGAGGGCTGAGAATGAGCCTTGGTTGGCCCAGAAAAATACCAGGCCACCCAGATATGTAAACAACCTATGCTACCCGGCCCGGGCCGACCCGGTACAGATGGGACTGGCCCATTTGCCTCCTCTATACTGCCACACTCACAACGTCATGTTTTTCAGCTTGGCCATTGGCTGATTCTAAATAAGTGTGGAGTGGAGTTTTAACCTGATGATGGAGATGAATTTAAGCTTTTGGGCTGAAATATTAAATTAAAAGTGAGTTGCACTGAACTGTCACACTAATGATTACACATGTCTACAGCACTATTAGACACTCATCTATATTATCAGCAGAAAAAAAGTTAATTTAGGTCTTACTTGCTCTTTAATAAACCCCTAACAGTTACCATGGTGATCCTAATGAGCCACTGGCAGCAGTAGAAACATTCCAGTTCTATTCAGGTAAAATTCAACAAAGGTAAATTAGATCTTTGTCATTACACTTATTGAAGTTTCTTCAAAGATCCATTGTGTCTGGTTCTAGCTGGTTCTAGGTGTGGGCAGGAAAGATCTTCTGTGTTGAAGCAGATCTGAAGATTTCTCTGACTGAAGACACTCTGTTCTGTTACTGTCTTGAGAAGAGGATGCTCAGAGCTGTGAAACATCTTCAGCTGTCCAGCCAGCTCCAGAGGCCCCAGAACAGAACCGACCTTCTCCATGCTGCTACCCCAGCAGATAACTGCAGATCAGATTACGTGCTCCACAACAGGTTTACAGAAGGCAGGTCACAAAGGACTAGGGTTTCATTTTTATGCTTATTCAGTTCATAGATATTTGTCTTGGCTTAGGCTAATCCACAGTTGGCGTTGGAACATCAGCCACGGCATGAATTGAAAAAAGCATGCATGCATGCCTAACGCTATGCATGTGTGTGCATGCTTTCAATCACACCTGCAGACTCACATCCATCTCATTACTGCTCAGCTGTGCCCTGCAGCAGACTGGGTATTTAGACATTTGTCCAGGGGAGTTTGCAGGGAGTTAGACGGAGAGTAAATTAGTTTGCACCCTGAGGGCTGAGTCGATGCCAGCCTCGGGGGCTCTCTGTGTGTCTCTTACTGCAGAGCTGAGCAGAGTTTGTGCAGGAGGTGGAAGACATCACACACGCCCCCGTGTGCCTCTGCCAGTGTCCAAAAATAAATGGGCTCTTACATCGATCCCTTGTTGGTGAATTCATCTGGGGGTAAAAGCCACCAGTGCATCAGTGGTGAACGTCACATGTGCCTGCTCGTGTTGCTCCACCCTCTTCCTCCTTAGCCTCAGGTCCACCATAGCTGTTGTTTCTGTTGTCATGTTCCTACTCTACCTCTTCGTATTGACTGTGGAAGCTGAAGAGGCTGCATTTAATTTTAGCAGCCCTGCTGCCTGCCTGGTGATTAATTAGATGCTCAGGTTGTAAATAGAGGTTCTCCTGGTTGTTTTTTTTTTTTTTTTTTGCCAGTTAGGAGTGCATGCAGCTGATTGGAATACCCACTGAATACTAAACACAGCAGGTGCTGGAAAGCCCACACACACAGTTGTTCCCTGCTCTCTCTGACTGTAAAAGACGAGGAAAACAAACCTGAATAAGAAACTCAAGACTCCAGCAAGATCCTTAGATGGGTTTTTACCTCGTACAGCCAGGAGTCCATGGAAGTGCTGTACCACCTCACAACTAAACCAGAGTGAAGATAAGGACATGCCACAGTAATACAACACTCGGCAGCTGCAGTCTCAGCATCCATCAGCAAGCTGCCGTGTTCTCAGACTCAACAGGCGTCCCACAGTGACTGACACCAGCCTCATGCATCGGCATGATGGGGGGGCGTATCTTTACAGCATGTTCTAATGGGAAACAGGCTTCAACACAAACAGTTGTTTTCCGCTTGGTCCTAGAGCTCAACCAGTGTCAATTTAATATAGCGTAATATTGTTTTGGGATGGTAAAAAATGCAGGGGTCAAAACTTGACTTTGGAAAAAGTGGGGGGGACATGTCCCCCCCCCCAAAAAAAAATTATGCCCATGTATTCCACCCACATTGCAATTTAGAAAAATGCCCCACTGGTAGGCGTTGAGGGTGGAGCTGCGGCAGTGACAAAGACGGATGTTTACCGAGGCGACGCTAGCTCTTTTGACTCTGATCAGTCATCGGAGGATGTTTAGGCAGACTGGTTGTGTGGTTCTGATCAAATCTGTTGTTCTTAGTAAAGATTAACGTTGCAGACAAACACAATAGCTGAACTGAATTCTAACTAGGAGAAACTCGCTTAAAACATTTATAATTCCAATAATTTTAAATTGATACAATGAACAAAACTTCCAGCTATCAGTAATTTTATTTTAATATCCGAACAAACATTTAAACTAGTACTATTTTTATCTCAGATAGGCAGAACTTGAGTCTGAAGAACAATTAGGCTGTTGTTTTAGTTGTTTTTCACTTATTTCCTTCCCTAATGCTGTTGTAGCTAAAGCCTTTATGAACATGAGCGAGCACATTTAAATGGCATGATGATCAGCTTCAACAGCTGACTACTTAAAATTAGAGTTTCTTCTGGTAAGAAATCTTTTCCAGCTATCCGCCATGTCTAGACAGCAAGAATGTATTTGTGGAGGTTGAGCTGCAAACCCAGTTCACATGAACGGTAAATGTGACTAAATTTGTCTTAAGAAGAATGATATCTGATTGTTCAGTATAACAATGTTGATTTTGTATTTCCTCAGCAAGTTGATGCAGTGATAACTTGATCTTGTATTGTTGTTGTGTCCCTTTTTTTTTGGTTTTGTAGCTTTTTTTTTGTCTCTTTCTGCAGGTCTAAATGCAGACTCTTGTTCATTATTGTTTATTTTTGTGGACCCCCACCCCCATCTTTTGTCTTTTCCTTTCTCTTTCACCTCTGACTCCGTGTCTGGTCAGAATTACAAAGCATTCAAAAACAATAACAATAAAGTTTTAAGTATCAGGCGTGACATTAAAAGCAGACGCTTTGATGCTCCACCTGAGAGTAAATCTGTAAGGCTTGCCACCAGCATTCAGACATCAATTCTGTTTGCTTCACAGCCAGACAGGACACACACACACAAAAAAAAGGAAGTTTCTATATTTTTTAGTGTTTATATATTTTCTGCATTAGACAGCTGGAGGTTTGTGGTGAACAGATAGTTACTGAGAAATGGTTGTTGAGTTAAAGTTTTACTACTTTAGGTAAATTAGGTGTTTGATACCCTCTGTAAATACATCTGAATGCATCATCTTCACCATATTTATACCCCCCCACCCCACCCCTACACACACACACACACACACACACACACACACACACACACACACACACACACACACACACACACACACACACACACACACACACACACACACACACACACACACACACATCTTATTCAACCCCGTGTCCTGTCTGGCTGTGAGCATCAAAGTTTCTGCTTTTAATGTCACGCCTGATACTTAAAACTTTATTGTTATTGTTTTCTGGATGCTTTTTAAATCTGACCAGACACAAAGACAGAGGTGAAGGGGGGGGGGGGGGGGGGGTCCACAAAAAGAAAGGGGCACACAACACCACAACAGGAGCAAGTTATCATTGCGTCAACTTGCTGAGGAAATATAAATTCAACATTGTTATACTGAACAATCACGATAATAAATCATAGTGCATTTAGTGCCAACCACAGCCTTGAGACAAGTGTTGAACGCACCCAAGTCCATACTTACGAGAGCACCATGTGATCACCTGTGTGTGTACACGCGCTTGTTTATGTAAGGCTTCTCTATAGGAGCGTCCAATAGAGAGTGTGAGGGGCCACAGATCTGACCCCTAAAGATGTGTAGGACATGGAAGGAGCTCCAAGTCCCAGAGATCCAGGAGCTGCTCCAGAGCGCAGGAACCCCAGGGAGACTGTAACCAGAAAAGTCCCCTCTCAAGAGGTGCAGAGGATCGCCCCAGGGGGCCACGACCAGCAGCCAGCAGATTCCCGGGAGTGGTCGGCAAGCCCACGGCCCGCCCGCAGCCTCCCACTCCCAAGCCATCTGAGCCCGGAACCCAGCAACCTGGGACCCAGGGGTGACCAGCCCCGCTGGGAACCCAACAAAGCCCAGGGACCCAGATCCCACCAGGCAGCCACCGGGATTAATCAGGCAGACTCCAAAAATCTTAAACCCTGATGTGGGAGCCGCGAACACTCAGGCAGACTGAGGCACCACACTCCACACCAAATGGGGCAGGGGGAGGGCAGGCTTCTGATGACCGTGAGCAATGCATCTGATCTCCAAACGACCTGAAAGAGAACACGTTACAGAAGCATGAATTAACTGATCCAACCTGATTCAGGCTGTTGCTGGTCTAAAGGTGGATGTGAGATTTTCTTGTCCCCTCAGTTCCCCAGAGCCTGGTTTAAACACCACAGCCTACCTGCGTCTTTTTGCTCACCTTCATTCATCCCTTTATGACCACATGGACCCATCTTCTGATGCTACCTCCAGCAGGATCGTGCACCATGTCACAAAGCCCAGATCATCTCTAACTGAACATGACCATGAGTTCACAACGGCCTCCAGTCGCTAAATCAGTCCAGAACCTTTAGGATGTCACGTAGCGGTTCTTTAATAGAACCCCTCCCCCTAACCGCTTTGCCTTAGATACAGCATCCATGACACCACCAATCTGACACACAATGAGGATGAGGATCAGTATCACAGCTGCCTGGATCACCTGACCTAGTGGAAAAAAATAACCAGGACTCACATAGTTCACACAATACGTGTAGCGTGGGGGTGTTTAGAACATGCGGGGGTGAAAACTACTGGAACAGAACCTGAAAAGAAGTCCTGGGGGTAAAAAGCATGTTAGCATGTTGACATTATCAGCTACATTTATCATTTTACATTTATACTAGAAAACTCATGAGGGTAAGGATCTCCTTATGAATTCAGCTGTTATAAAGTGCTGCGTGAACACTTCTGCTGATATTTGCAGATAAACTTCTTCTTCTTTGTCTGGGCCCTCGTTCTTTACCTTCAGTCTGTCTGAAATCTGCTAAACCTGAGTCCTCTGCAGCAGCAGAAAAACAACACCAATCACAGAGCCACACAGGTAATTTTTGACTAGTCGTGTATTCATTTATTTGTTTTTCACTAAATAATTTGGGGCTAATTGTTCTTTATGACCCAAGCTCCATAACTCTTTTATTTTCTTTTGGGCAAACACGTTAGAAATTCACAAGAATTTGAGACGTTCCTTAATTTAAAGATAATTAAATGTTTTGCATGTTGCAATTTGAGGTACATCCTTGTTTCCTATCTCAGCCTGGTTCTTCCCTCTGGTTGATTAATAATTCACCTTTTTATCAAAACCAACAGTTTTTCCTCATGTTATTGACAAAAAAATATATATGTATATATATTCTAGCTTGTTTTAAAAATGTATGAACTGAACTTTGAACTAATAGACCCTTTTACTGTTTGTAAACAATATGACGTCAGCGAGAATGCGCGCGCAGCTTGGCAACAGAGAATGGTGTTGTTTCAGGCTTTATCAAGCTACGCTGCGGGGTTATCACGGCAAATCTTGAATGTTACATTATTAAACTCACTTTAACGAATGGCAACAGAGAACACCGGATCGCCGTGGCATTACGGAATGGGTGGAAGATGTAGGTGCGTGGCCAGATATCCAGTGGCCCGATGTATATACGTTTTTAGTGGAGAGGCCCAGTAAGTACACACGTGAGAAGCTACGGGCATACAAATCGTTAGATGCATACAACTATGTTGTCTGTGGCCACGTACAGGAAGTAAAACATCACGACATAGACTCTGAGTTTTGCGTCTTGAAGGCAGAAGTCCTTCCTAGCCAAAGACAAGGACACAAGACTGCTATGTACGAGGCTTGGGTCATAGTAAACAAACCAGAGAACTACGTCTTCACAGCCAACTGTACCTGCATGGCAGGGTGAGTATGGCATAGGTTTCTTTTTTTAGCGTGCTCAGAGTACAATCGTGTTAATTTTAGAGAAATACAGTTTATACTAATATGCAGTGGGAAAATACAGATGAATTAGAATGAAATGTTAATTTGAAGCATGAAATAAAGCGTATACATTTGTTTAATTCTGTCATTTTGATGTTCCAGACTTGGGTCATGCTGCAGCCACGCAGCAGCAATTTTATTCAAAGTTGAGCTTTGTGTTAGGATGGGAAAAACGGAAAAGGCTGCCGTTACATCTCAGGCATGTGCATGGAAAGACCTGAGCAGGAAAAATGTAGAACTTCGGAATTCTGTAAAGTTTCATTCCACTGCTTGAAGAGAAGCGATTCTGGCATCCATACACGCAACAACCCGACATTTTTATGTGCTCAGAACTTCAAAACAAAGGGTTTAAAACGCTGTTTTAGTATCGAGTGTGAATGAGGAAGCCTTCACTCTCGTTGCCAGGCTGCGCGCGCAACTTTTGATGACGTAGGTAGTAAAAGGGTCTATTAGTTTTTAAAATGAACTTTCCCAACACTGCTGAGGACTAACTGGAACACTGGCTTGGCAACCTGGCTTGAACCAATCTGCTCTTATTCTGGTTGCCTAGACTTACTTCAGCTATACTTGGACGTCAGTGTGACTTTATTCTTCATGAAGTGCTTCCAGGTGAGACTGGTATGGCAAAAATCAAACCCAATAACCTGATCTAATAACCCAACTGACTGTAAGAAGCAAATTTACTGAGTAACCAAACCAAAATCGGGAGTTCTGGTGCTAAGAAAAGATGAATAACCAGCTTGAGGTGAGTTTGGGAGTCAGAGACACTAATCGGAGGCTGGCGTCCATCTGATAGCGTACGGGGATCTGAAGATAGGCAGCTTCCTTGTGTTGGACATGTTGATGAACTGACAAATGTTGTGTTTTTTGATTTAATTATTTATTACTCAAACTAACAAGTAGAGC